GACTTGATCAACAATTTGAACAACGCCATACGCTCAAACCATCAAACGTGTGACTTTATGCTAGAATAGACAATCTACCCAATTTCAATCACCATTTGTATCACTGTGTCAACCAATGGTATTGTTTTCAGGCACTTTTCAACGAACTAAGAACTTCTGAGAGTTAACTGGATAGGCGGAATTGTTAGAGTTCATTCTCAACTAGTATTCTATGAATGGTAGAAATTCTTAGGTTTTAACTTTACCTTTGAGAAGATCAAAGGGTAGTCACTTTTGCAATTGTCGCTGTGGTAAGATCTGTTGTTGCAGACGTTGTTTAGGGAGTTGGGTCTGCTGAAGACCAAGTCCAGCTGGTGCCAATGGGGTGTTTCCAGGATGCTTTGTGGCAAGTCTTATTCTGGAAATACATATATGATTGTCACAGGCCGATAACACCAAGAGGTCAACTCTCCTGATAAATCAACTATGGTGTGATTTGAACAAAAGTCTCAAGGACAAAAACGAACATTCTAATAAGTCAATCAAGCTCATATAATACAACAGTAACTGCTACACTTGTATATAATACTTTAATAAGTACATACTTACACTTAAAACTGCTCAGTGTCATTAATACAAAGTCCAATCTGCGCAGCTAAACATTCGTCGTGTAAGCGTACATTCTATTTTGTACATATGTGACTATGTACTTCGAGAATTAAATTCTTTTGTGTTCTCTGCTTTCCTCAAATCGCGTCTGGGCGTGACCGTACACTATATTCGTGTCTATGAGATCATTTTAATTTCTTTCCCTGGTGGGATTCTGGTTTGTTTTCTCAATTGGGAATGTTACTATTGTTTTCGTTTACAGGTGCAGCTTTGAGCACACAGATCTCGCTCGATCTTTTCGGGTTGCGGCTTTGGACCAGAGCCAAATGTGTTTACAAATTAAGTCGCATTTTACATAAAATTCTCCAAAAAGTCCATAAAAATAAAAATACGCTTTCCTCTTTTTTTTTTATAATCATTTTTAAACAAATAAAAAGCGAAGAGATCAAAAGCATTAATCAAGTTAAAGACGGGGCGCCTATTCTATGAAAACAAATAACATAAAGCTGGAGGAGTCGTTACTTTCATCAAAGACGTGTCAGTTTTCTGATGGTATAGTAGTTATTGCCGCCAACTTACAGCATACCGGAAGCAGATTTGTGCTTATAGATATAATTGTCGCCATCTTGTATTTAATACGGAAATTAAAACAATTTTCATAAAAGACGTTTAAGTTTTCTGATGGTGTAGCAGTTATTACAACGAACTTACAGCATACCAGAAACAGACTTGTTTTTATAGATATGTGTCGCCATCTTGCATTTAATATTTAAAAATTATCCCATGAAAACAGCAGAAATAGGATGTTTGTTGTATTGCTACCGTTTTTCATTGTTACTAGCAAAGTGTGAAACTAAAGCATTCTATAGACTACCAAAGTATTTTATTGATTGTCTAGGTATTTTATAGAATGTCAAAACCTATAAAGCAATGCATGAAGTAAAATCAACTTAGATATTTCCTAGATAGATTATCATTCTTTCAATGTATAATTATAATTATAAAACGATTAATTTATTTATTTTAAATTAATTCACTCCAAGTAAGGTGATAATGCCACTAAGATGCAAAGGGTTAGTGAGTATGAAAGAGAATGAAAAAATTGTAGAAGGGACCGGAAACTCATTCCTAAGCAAAAAGCAAGGGATAAACATATATTCCTGTTCAAAAGACTGGGGAGAAGTATGAACCGAGCGATTGGTGAATCTGCCTATTCGTATTGAGGAAAACAATTAAACAAGCGATGAACCTCTGTTCTTGTTCAGAATAGCGGGAAGGATTGTGAAATTTATAGCGAAGAGGTGCTACTGGTTTGAAATAGACGCGGTTGCTGTTGGTCATCAGTTTTTAGCGTAAATAGTTAACGACTTATTGCTGATGAGCGCGAAGTCTTTCAAAATGAACGAATTCAGCATTTTCCAAAGAAATTCAACACACGGAGGAATTTTACCTATCACATCATATAATAATTATCAATGTATATATTATTACGAGGATGCATTTCTATAATAAGGGATTCCATTGAGTTCTACTTGTTATTACCAAAAAGTTTTCATTTTTGAAGTAGTTGTAAAATAGAGAAATTAGAAATAGAATGTTTGGATCATTCTAGTATATTCGAGAAAAATCTAGATCATTCGAGAAACATCTAGAAATATGCAAATTAGGTGTTAGCCCCTATAAAAATGGGATTTTGGAAAAGGGTTGTCAGTTGATGAATGAGAATTTCTGCTGTTATCAACTCCGGCTTTTGATTCGAGGATTATTATATCCAGCCGAAAGAATCTCTATAAAAAGTTGCCGACCAACCAAAACCCAAAAGAGAATTTCATGGAACAAATTTGGTAAATAGAATTTTGACTAATTTTCATTAACCAAACTAAAAATTAATATTTATTTACACACCTTTTGTGGATTTCCAAATATAGCACTTAGATTACTTCACTAGCCCTAAAGTGATAAAGATATTTGATTCCCTTTCCTTCTCCCTCGTAACACTTGCCAGTAACTCTGTGTTTTCTGTTTTGTAGGCCACAATTGTTTATCTTGTATATATTTTATGTTCTGTTTTAGTAAATTAAATATTTGTTTGTGATTTAGCTCTGTGTTGTGGTAAATCATTTTTTTTTCCTTTGTTACAATTATAAACACGTAACAATATCAATTTATATATTTCCTGTGTATTTATTTATATATCCACTGTCCCATCTGTAGTTGAAAGGGAAATAAATCTTGTTAGTAAATTCATGAGTGGTTACTTCTCTTAGTCGTTTTAGTAATCCATACAAATAAAATATTTATCTCCATTTAAACAAAATTAATTCTCAAGCAAAATGAACCATTTAATTAATCAGTTCCTTTACTCCTATTTTTCTTAGATTTCAGTCTTATTTGTTCAAGCCTTTCATATGAGGTTCTCAGATAACTTTGTCTAGTAAGTGATCGTCGTGCTTCTACTTAGTCTTGAAATAGGCTTTGTTGTCGCCGTCTTTGTCGTTCTGTTGCTGATCTTTTTTTTCCGAGAGATATTCCCATTTCGCTGTTTTATTAAACCCATAAAATGTTCAACATGAAAAGTTATTGAGCAAAAAGCGATTTATATAATACCAGGAGTAATCAATCAATCATAGATACTCTTGAACGTCTAAAAGATATAAAGGAACGGATTAATTAAACGGTTCATTGGCTTCTATATATGTGATTTTTTTCTTCGCTTTATTGAATTCTAATACATTGTTTCAAGACTCTTGTTTCATTGTATCTCACTATTAAAATTTTGTAACAATTGCTGTCGTTTTTATGACACGGGTACACTAGTATTTATATAAATATAGCTCACTAAAGAAGACAGGGAGAAAATTATATTTACATGTAAAAAGATAGCTCAAAAAGAAGGAAAGAAGCAATTAATGGATTTAGTTGTAATGTATGTACCTTTATGTCATGCCTTGGAGTTCGTTTGAAATTAAGTAGTCGGTTTTCCAGGGAAAAAAAATCTTCAACACCACAAAAAATTACCATATACCAGTCGTTGTTCACGCTTGAATGTGCTGCGGCCATAACAATTATTAGCACCTATATAAGAATGAGCGGTGAAACAGTATTTAGTATTTTCTAATAGTCTCTTTTATTGCTTTCGGAACTTCTCACCATCAGTAAAAGAGAAGGCTGGAAAATACTAAAAGCAGCTATGCGCAAAGTTGAAAATAAAAAAAAATGTTGTCTCCCGTAAGTTCTGGAAAATTTCAAATAAGATTCTCAACGGAGGCAAAACGCTCCCAATGTTATCTCGTCTGCATCAGATATGGCTAAGATCTTTTGTAATTAACTTTGCCTCTTACTCCACGTTAGATGATAAGGGCCATTCTCTACCTAATTTCTTCACATCTCACAGAAGAACACAAACTTTACGACATCTCTGTCGCGGCTCGTGAAGTTTCCACACTTATAAAAGGGCCTGACTCTACGACGGTCCCGTTAAAATTCATGTAGTTGAAGCCTAGCCCAGAGTTATCCCCAATCATGGCAATTTTTTTTAACTCTATCTAAGGTGAAAATGTTTCTCAGTTTTACGGAAATTATCAGCTGTATGCACGATTTTACAAGAATGTGAATAAATTCTCGTCTTAATAACGCTCCATCAGCATTCTGTGTCACTCGTAAATGTTTTGGAGCTATCATCAACGAGATGCTTGTCAGTCACCTCAACAGTAAGAACCTCCATAGCGACAAACAGTATGGATTTTGTTCTTCTAGATCCACTGCTGATGTCCTAAAATCCATTACGCTTTTAATTAGTGAAGCGATTGTTATTAAATCAATCACTAAAGATTTTGACAAAGTGTGGCATAGGGAGCTACTACACAAACTCCCCATCTATAGCATTTCTGGTGGAGTCCTTTTGATTATCAAGTTCTTTCTCTAGGGTAGTTCCATGAAGGTCGTTGTTCTCTGGCGCCAATGAAATCAGTGCATGCGTCCCTCAAGGCTCTCTCCTCGGTCCTAACCATTTGTCTATATATTAACGATCTGCCTAAGAATATTCACAGGTCAGTAGTAAAAACATAAACGATACCACAATTTATGGGAGCAGTATCGAAGGTCTAAATGACCAGGACCTTGCAGCCAATCTCTCCTTTGATTTTGCTCAATAGGAGAGGAAATGATTCATAAAAGTCAACACCTCCAAAACCAAGCTCTAACGTTACATCATTACAAAGCAGACCCTGAGTTTTCTCTAATTATGATCAACGAATGTACTCTGAAAACAGCTATTTGTCTGGAACATCTATTCGAATTTAAGCTCGTGGAAATCGTATATACAAGCCTTTGCTAAAGACGCTGCAAAAATAGTCGGCTAGCTGTATCGGTCCATAAAGTACCCGACTCTCCCTGTTTCTTTCTCCATAAAGTACCCGACACTTCCTGTCCACATCTCTCTCTCTCTCTCTCTCTCTCTCCCAATCAAGTAGCCGACACTTCCTGCCTCTCACTTTCCATAAAGTACCCAACTCTTCCTGTCCAACCCTCTTTCTCTCCCTCAATAAAGTACTCGACTCTTCCTGCATCTCTCTCTCTCTCCCAATCAAGTACCCGACTCTTCTTGCCTCTCACTTTCTATAAAGTACCAATTCTTCCATCCTCTCTCTCTCCCAATCAAGTACCCGACTCTTCCAGCCTCTCTCTCTCCCAATCAAGTACCCGACTCTTCCTGCATCTCTCTCTCCCAATCAAGTACCCGACTCTTCCAGCCTCTCTCTCTCCCATTCAAGTACCCGACTCTTCCTGCATCTCTCTCTCCCAATCAAGTACCAGACTCTTCTAGTCTCTCTCTCTCCCATTCAAGTACCCGACTCTTCCTGCATCTCTCTCTCCCAATCAAGTACCCGACTCTTCTTGCCTCCCACTTTCTATAAAGTACCAATTCTTCCAGCATTCTCTCTCTCAACAAAGTGCCCGACTCTTTCTGCCTCTCTCTCTCTCTCTCCCAATCATGTACCCGACTCTTCCTGCCTCTCACTTTCCATAAAGTACCCAACTCTTCCTGACCTCCCCCTCTTTCTCTCTCTCAATAAAGTACCCGACTCTTCCTGCATCTCTCTCTCTCTCTCTCTCCCCAATCAAGTACCCAACTCTTTCTGCCCCCTTCTCTCTACAAGAGCCAGATCAATCATTGGACAGGGGCTAGCCAATTTTCACTTTCCAGTCACGACAGAGTTTAAAAGGACTCTGTGGGTGATGAACTGTTCGCACTTTAACCACTTTCCCACAGACGAAACTCTTGCTTGCCTCTCGCTATCCTAACCCTGTTTTCATGGCAGATGTTCGGCCGAACTATATTCCTTGGTTCCACCAGCCCAGACTTTGACATTTAGGACCCACCATTCTGCGTATACCGAGTTAACTCAGCCTCATTTCATTCATAGTCCCCACTGGTTAAGAGGAAGTCCCACTCAGACACCTTCTCCCCCCCCCAAGAACTGATGCAATATGGAACGGATTCGTGATGAGATGCTATAATCTTAACCTATTCAAGTCTAGGATCAACCGCTATCTATTATATCCTCATAATACGAAATGCTTGTTCCTTCTCTATACGCCTTTAAATATACTCATTCATGGCCATCTACAGTGAATGGCGCTTAGACTTTGTGTCAGGTGAATAATAGTAAAAGAAGATATTTAAATGTCTATAACTGCTTGCGTTTGACATCTCCAACTTGTTACTCTCAACTTTGTAAGGCCCACTTTATTGGGATATAAGCTTTATTGTAATTGCTAAGGATTTTTTTTTAAAAGATTAGGCAAAAAAGATACTAAGATACAAGGGGTCACTGAGTGTGAAAAGTGGTCACTGAGTGGGAAAAATGGAAAAAGAAAACCCTGTTAACAAGCGAGAACAAAAGAGGAGGAATCATAAAAACAGTAAATTACGATTAACATTGTATTTAAATGTTTAAACATCAAAGTTGGCTGGAAAGCAAGAATCCGGAACAGAGTTCTACAAGTCTGATAGAAGAAACTGTTAGCATAGAACTTACGGTAACAATTACCATTAAAATATTTATCGAAAAGGCTACATTCCAGCTTTGTGAAACGGACCAAAGTCGTGGTGCCAAGTTAGAAACAATAATATTCCAGGGAATTAACAGTTTTTTGTTGTGTTTTTTTTTTATTGTTAATACGATATTATTTCTGATTACGTTAAGAGTTAACACTTAAAATAACAGGAAATAATGTCGGATTAAAAATGTTAAAAATCCATTACTACTTTAGAAATTACTTTCGGATACGGCAATGAAGTTAGTAGATATGGAATATTGAAAATTGAGGCTTTTGATGAGATCTTAGCGAAATTTGCATCCCTTTAAATAAAAGAGTATTTTGTATCTTGCCGGTCAATGAAGCTTTCTGGAACCCATGCGATCTAGAGTTCGTCTGATTAGATGCTGGCTTCGCCTATAAAGGGAGTTAAAGTTTCGAACCCTATCGGAAAGCAAATTTATTTTTATTAAGATTCTAGAATGGACTGTATAAATAAATACAGCATCTACTGAAACATGGGTATCCAATAAAAGATAGCGTATAAAATAATAAGAAATACGCTTTATTAATATATTCGCTTTACTGAATTTTCACCAGTCGTGATGACCGGTTGTTCTTCCAGAGAGGTTTCATGTCTTAAACGCGTAGTGGAACTTAAACTTAACCCAAACTTCAAGTAAAACTCGTACCTACGATCCATCGTTAAGGACACTGGGAAAAATGTTGGTTTCCTGTACCTTTCCTGTAAATACCTGACCTCTGTTGCATGTACAAGAGTCAGATCAGACGGAATAGGTAGTGCTGCTTCATATATGGACAGGAGCTGCCCATTTCTCACTTTCCAGTTTCGGTAGAGTCCAAAAGTATTTCCGCGTCCTTGTGGATTATGACTTAATTTCCCCCTTACAATCCGTTTCCTACAGACGAAACGTCTCAAGCCTCTCGCTGCTCTATAGCTATTTCCATGGAAATTGATAAGGCGAACGACACTTGTACAGGAAATAGTGTGTGAAAAGCGAAGAAAAGAAATAATCTTCAAACATAAGTCTACAATTTTAACTAATGTTATTATTGATTATAAAAATAATCTTTGTTTTCTTTCAAGTTGAAAGAAACAAGTTACAAACTTCAACGAAAAATGTTTCGTTTTTCATTTTACAACACAAAGAAATGAATTGCTTTAGTATAGAATGAAAAGAAGTATGTGAAAATTAACGTATGTGTGTAATTCCAGCAGTCGTATGTTGTATTATTAAAACTGCTACAATTCACTTTATTTACATAATTCCCTCATATATTTTTCGTATTGTAATTCGTTCGAACTGGTTTATGAAAATACATTAAAAAGCAATAACTGATTTGCAAAGGAGATTTAGAACTCAATTAATAAATTAGTTTAAACATACGAAAAATTATTTTGGGAATCCATTATTATTCACATCGTCCGGTCAAGAAATATTCAAGACTGTTTTTTTTTTTTAATTTACGTTACACTGTTTATAAGAAAAAAATCGGTTCACAGGAAGTTAAAATTAGATTTACTCAGTTCTATTGGATTTCTTTGTACAATTTTTCAACATATTCCTTATTTCTAGCAGTTCTACCCTTCACTGCTAAGACCAACCATGCCAAGGATAATGTAGCGGCCTACTCTCATCTCCTTCGTATTCCATTGGTTCGATGAAGTTCCACTTGCGCGGCTTCTTCCCACGATCCGCTGTTTTGTGGAACTGACTTCCAAGAGGATGATTTCCCGATCACTATAATCTCAACCTTTTCAAGGCTAGGGTTAAACGGTATATACTTCCATAACCTGTGCCTCTTATTCTATAAGCCTCTGCCTCGAGTGGCTCTTGGGCCTTATACAGGGTGAACAATATTGTAAAAAATGCGGTGATATGGAACCGAAACTGCAATACCTCCAAAGCATGCCAATATTATCGAATGCCTGAATATTGTGCACAGGTCAACGATTTATCAGATTTCAAAATTTAGTTCCATGGACAATGTTACTGACAATGCAACCACGGAGGCATGCTTATCTTTTTGATTGATGTCTACAATAAATAGAAACGCAAACATTATAGTTTAATTGCTACAATAAAATCATAAGACGATAGCGATTTATTCGAATCGAGGCACAAGATTTATTCGAAGGTCTGTAGGGTTTCCTGCTTCTTGTACCTTTTATTTTCTGCCCTTTTAGTAGTATTCCTATTCGGGAAGGCCCACACGTACTTCACCGTACAAACCAGCGATACGTGTACAAATATGTATTAAATCTGAGAGTAATGATTTTTGTAGCAAAAACGCCAAAGGGTACGTTTTATTAATTGATAGAAACGCAAGCAGTTACTGAAATTTCACATATAATGATTTGGCATCTATCTATCTATCTATCTATCTATCTATCTATCTATCTATCTATCTATCTATATCACTTCATATCTATCAATCTATATAAGCCTCTTCATTATTTATCTAAATACCATTTTCTATCTATCTATCTATCTATCTATCTATCTATCTATCTATCTATCTATCTATCTATCTATCTCTCTGCCTGTCTGTATGTATGTCTATCTATGTAAACATCTTCATTATCTATCTATCTATCTATCTATCTATCTATCTATCTATCTATCTATCTCTCTCTCTCTCTCTCTATATATATATATATATATATATATATATATATATGTATCACTTCATATCTATCAATCTATATAAACCTCTTCATTATTTATCTAAATATCATTTTCTATCTATCTATCTATCTCTATCTATCTATCTATCTATCTATCTCTCTCTCTCTCTCTCTCTATATATATATATATATATATATATATATATATATATATATGTATCACTTCATATCTATCAATCTATATAAACCTCTTCATTATTTATCGAAATATCATTTTCTATCTATCTATCTATCTATCTATCTATCTATCTATCTATCTATCTATCTATCAGTCTGTCTGCCTGTCTGTATGTATGTCTATCTATCTAAACATCTTCATTATCTATCTATCTATCTATCTATCTATCTATCTATCTATCTTCGTGTAAGGGAGATAGAAAGGCTTAACCAGTGTACTTTTTAGGCGTTTGAGACATGACAATATGTGTTTTTGACATCTGCAAACAAAATCTAATCCCAAAAAGTCTAGTATTATATTATATGCAAACTCTTCATATAATCTTTATCTATGCAGACATGGGCATACAATGAGGTCCGTCATGTGGTTGAGATAATTGCGTATTTTTAACTGTTTCTAGTAGTCTGTATTCCAGGTCAAGCCCAAAAATATGAGTTTTCACAGCGGGCAGGCTATTTTGTTTTGAGACGAAAGTCCTGCCATAATTGGTTACCATTTTCCTTACATTTTCCAGTATAAATATGGAGAGATTTTAGGTGCATTTGTGTTTGTGCAATTGCAGAAAAATACAATTACGCTTGAACATTTCTTTTCCCAATCAATCAATCAATCAATCACACAAGCTATCTATCTATCTATCTATCTATCTATCTATCTATCTATCTATCTATCTATCTATTTAAGTTTCTTCATATCTATTTATCTATCTACCTATTTATCTTTCTATCACAGTTTCTTCATACCTGTCTATTTAGCCATCTCCCCATCTCAGTTTCTTCATATCTATCTATCTATCTATCTATCTATCTATCTATCTATCTATCTATCTATCTCAGAGCCTCATTATCTATCTATCTATCTATCTATCTATCTATCTATCGAGCCTTCATTATTTAGCCATATCTATCTCAGTTTCTTCATATCTATCTATCTATCTATCTATCTATCTATCTATCTATCTATCTCCTCAGTAAGAAATGCAGTAACCGTCGGTTATAATTTTACATTAAAATCCCCAATGATACGAAGACGCTTCCTTTTATTTAAGTTTTGTAAATTTTTACCATCCGCTGTATTTCGACGCATAACCTAATCGACCTTATTCAGCTTTCTATCGCTTTTGTTTTTATTTTTAACGCTATTCTTTTTTAAGTATCCCGCCTTCTATTATGCTGCTACAATTACTAATTTTACGAGGAAAGGAGATTTGTTTTATGATCCCGGGCGTATGTCTACTGTAGAAGATTTCGTAATCACAGTACTTACAACACATTTTCGCTTTAAGAAATCCCTTTCATTATTAATTAAAACTGCATTTTTTTTATATCGAAATAATCTTTGGGTCTATTACGAGGGACCACTAATAAATAAATAAATAAATCTATCTATCTATCTATCAATCTATCTATCTATCTATCTATCTATCTATCTATCTATCTATATATATATATATATATATATATACAGTGTAACCCGGATATAAGAGAGTTGTCGGGACCGGAGAAAAAGTCTCTTATATCCGGGTTTTTAATATATCCGCGTTTGGTCTATTTTATATACATTAACACAGGCTCTGATTTGGGACTAGAGAAAATCTCTCGTATATCCGGGTTTCTCTTATATCCGGGTTTCTCTTATACCTGGTTTTGTATATATATATATATATATATATATATATATATATAAAACCACCTCTCAATAATATCAACTATGAACATGGTTGCAAAATCTTGACCGTGTTTTGAAAATGAAAACATTGTATAAATCTATACATACAACAATCTATTTCTTGTTAACAGTTAATATATTTTAACATTGAAAATGACTAAATGTCCGAAAGCGCTCGGATAAAAAGAACAATTGGATAGTTTTTATATAATTTATAACCCGAAAAGAAAAAAATTGTATAAAAAACAAAGCACCTTGTCTGTCGTATTCAATGAAATGTGCATGAAAGAAGGATTGCTGCATAAATGCACAAATAGATAGATAGAAAATGAAGAGAATGAGATAGATTGATTTTATCTATCGAGACAGATAAAAATGAATGAGATAGATAGATAGATAGATAGATAGATAGATAGATAGATAGATAGATAGATAGATAGATAGATGTATTGTAAACGATGTATTTCCTGTCCTTATAAATTTTATTTAAATTCTTAGACGATTTAACAATGTATTTTGGGGACATTTTTGCACTTTATTCTCTAAATTATTGCTTCTGGTTTAATGCTCTTGTCGTTTTGTTTCTGTTAATTAAATCTCTTATTCTTTTTAAATATTTGGAAGAGATTTTATTAAGTCAAGATAAATTTTGGAACAATAGACAGGCGACAAAGTCTCACTAATTTTTACAGTTGAGCTTGCTAGAAATAACCGTAAATATAATGCTACTAGTTTCTTTTCTTGCAAGTCGCGCTTTTGGGACACTCTTCCGGGTTTCATGCTTTTTATTTAATCTGAATCTGCAAAAAATTAAATGCAATGTCAATTGCTATCTGCTGTTCTCCTGGTTACTCTTCCTCTCTTCTCACTCCTTAGAAATGTTCATGTTTCTAACTCTTCCACACCCAGTAACTCTTTGCGTCTCAGTGGCTTTATTGCCTTGCTTGGGATAAATTATATCGATAAAAAAACATCTATGCAGTTGCTAAGTTGTGTTATGAACTTTATGTAAGTTTGTTTTTGTGAATGTTGTCAGGTTTCCACTTTGCATTATACAGGAGACATTAAGGACATTAGAAGAATGTAAAAATATTTAAATGTATTTTTCTCCATGCTGAAAATGATTAGGATTAAATATTCACAGCGTTCTTACATAGACTCTTATTTAGGTTTCCGTTTTAATTTTGTGGTAGGAATAAAATTTTATAAGATCATTTATTTGCTGTATTTTCAAGAAACGTTTAACTTCATATCATTATTAGTACGGCATAATATATGGATAAAATATAAAAACACCATCTATCTATCTATCTATCTATCTATCTATCTATCTATCTATCTATTTCAGTTTATTTATATCTATCTATCTATCTATCTATCTATCTATCTATCTATCTATCTATCTATCTATCTCAGTTTATTCATATCTATCTATCTATCTATTTCAGTTTATATCTATCTATCTATCTATCTATCTATCTATCTATTTCAGTTTATTCATATCTATCTATCTATCTATCTATCTATCTATCTATCTATCTATCTATCTCAGTTTATTCCTATCTATCTATCTATCTATCTATCTATCTATCTCAGTTTATTCATATCTATCTATCTATCTATTTCAGTTTATTTATATCTATCTATCTATCTATCTATCTATCTATCTATCTATCATTTTAGTCTATTCATATCTATCTATCTATCTATCTATCTACAGTGTAACCCGGATATAAGAGAGTTGTCGGGACCGGAGAAGAAGTCTCTTATATTCGGGTTTCTCTTATATCCGGGTTTGGTCTATTT